AAAAGGGCTGCCTGCGAGCAACTTCTGCTGAACACGCGGTTCTGCGGGAGAAGGAAGCGGACAGGGGAGAATCCCGTGACGCTTCAGCAGGCCTCAGAGTCAGAACCTGGAACTCCTTCAGCGTTTCAGTACAATTTACCTTTCTGCTTTTGGTAGAGAAAGGTCTGCAAATCAAATAACAGAGTAAACGAGGTCTCGACGTTACTTAGGCAAACATGTTATTCTCAAGTATTTGAGAACGGTGTGGATAAAATCAATTCCTTTTATGTTTTTGTTCGAATGCTTTCTTTTTTGAAAGCCCGCATGGAGAGTTCTAATTTAGGTTATGTTGGTGAACCAAAATAATCACAATGTGGGGTTTATGTCTTCTAATTATATAGAATTTAGGACAAAATATTCATGTAAGTGATTCTGGAATACTTTATAAATAGGTCATACAGGCAATTTTTATTGCCAAAATTCTTTCAACTCAGTGCAGCAGAGTCAATGTCTCCATGTAGAAAGCAAGGCGGGTGGCCAGCAGCCCATAAATCAGCCGACACTGGGGTCCGTAGAGCCCCTTGCAGGGTTGGTCACCATAAATGTGGCCACAGAACTCCAAGACTCCTGGGAGATAAATCTGCTTCTGCAGGCGTAGAGGATGGGGCTCCTCCCTGGTCTGACGCAGTCCGAACAGTGACAACATTCAGGAGAGAGACTGAAGACAGCCCCTCCCAGCTGTGAGTTCACAGCACAGCCCAGTGGGGCTTCCTCACCTTCCTCGCCATGACCCAGTGCAAACAACTCACTTCATTCTCACTTCATTCTACCGCATACTTTTTTTTTTTTTTTTAACAGGGTCTCCTCCTTATGTTTCCCAGGCTGGCTTCAAACTCCTGGGCTCCAGGGATCCTCCTGCCTTAGCCTCCCAAGGAGCTGGGAGCACAGACACACACCACTGACCCAGCTCTGCTATGCTTAATCATACAATTAAGTAGTCAACTATTTAAAAACGCCCGCTTGCTTCCATGATGCCCTCGACAAGTGCAGCAACCTGGGGGCAAGCGAGAGGGCCTTGCTGCGTGGCACCTGCTGGCGCAAGAGGGGACATACCAGTCCTGGGCTGAGCCCCAAGGTTCCATTGATGCCACGGACCCTGGGCACGGCTAACTGCAGAGTGCAGGAGGTGGCCTTTCTGAGGGATGCAGCCTAGGACTTCACCAACGTCCGCTGGCCTCTGCCTCATGGAGCTTCAGTAAATTCATCAAAATGAATTTGGTAAATCTGTCCAGACCAACAAACCCCAATTTTCTGATGCTTTTGAGACAAGGTCTCACTCTGTCGCACAGGCTAGAGTGCAGGGGCGATCACAGCTTACTGCAGCCTCGATCTCCCAGCACTGGGAGAGGTCTCCAGTGCTCCCGAATCCCACCCACCAGCCATCTTCCCTCAGCTCCCCAATCAAAGCCCCTACCAAGAGGAATCTCGGCCGACAGCCATCCATGTGGCCCCAGGGCAGTCACGGCCAGATTCCCAGCTCATCAGCCCCTCTGGATGCAGGAGGCACCAGGGCACAGGGCTGTCCAGGCAGGCCAGCAGGGGTCTCGAGACTCGTGTCCAGGGAGCCTAAGGACCACAGGGATGGAGAGGGCGGGGCCAGGGCTCCCGGGGCAGGCCTGGGAAGGAGGACGGAGGAAAGGGTGGCACCCCGCAGACCCAGGAACACTGGCCACCCCTGCCCCACAACCAGGAACATCTTCAGATCGTTCATTCTCCAAAGGCAACTGATGGCTAAGACTGTGAGGGACCAGGGTGGGGCCTTTTGAAAGCTTAGGCTGTGGCTGGCCAGAGGCCACAGCTCCCGTTTTGCCCTCTACAGTGGTTTGGCCCACTCTGCAGATACCAATATAAATGGCACTTGCCCAGGGAGGGCGCTCCAACAAGCCAGTGGGGCTGCCCCGCATCCACACAGAGCTCAGCAGGCCTGCCACCCCCTGCCCTTGCACGATGCTGCCTGGAGGGATGGAAGAGGGATAGACAGATAGGGATGGAGGTGTGTGATCCCAGCTCTGCCCCTGCTGACCCACCGGCTCCTCACCCATCGAGTTGTGGGGGACGCTGGGCAGTCACTAGGGTTCCATGCTCCCAGGTTCTGACAGCAGATGGGTGTGGCTGGGGCTGGCTCCCCAGCGCCCGCCCACCCTGAGTCACAGCTCTTGAAGTCGAGTTTAGAGAAAGACTCTGGGACGGCCGTAGCCCTGATGGAGTCCCATGGAGCTGCCTGTCCTCCCCAGCCCCAGCGGTTCTCAAGTAGATGTCACCCGCTCCCTCCCAGCCTGTGCCCCACCAGACCAGGCCCTGGCCCCCTCACGCCCCAGGCCTTTTGCCAGCCATCCTGTGAGGTGACTTTGTCTGCCCAGACGGGGGAGGAACAGGGGCCGCGTATCATCCTCCTGCAGGTCCCGCCCCCATGCCCAGGCTTCTGGGGCACATGCCTGTTTCACTTCCTCCCCACCAAACATCTGCCACCTCCACCAGGTGGTCAGGCTCCGGGGGCCAGCAACCACCAGCAGTCAATTACACCCGTTTCAATTCTACCTCGGGCCAGCGCCTCTGGGTCCCTCCCTCCTGAGCTGGGGTTGGCTGAGCGGACCTGCCTAGGTTCCTCCCACAGGACAGGACAGGACGAGACGGAGCCCCCACCCGCTGATCCCCATCCAGTCCGCTGACCCCCGTCCAGCCCGCTGACCTCCACCCGCTGACCCCCATCCAGCCCGCTGACCCCTGTCCGGCCCGCTGACCTCCACCCGCTGACCCCCATCCAGTCCGCTGACACCCGTCCGGCCCGCTGACCCCCGTCCAGCCCGCTGACCTCCACCCGCTGACTCCCATCCAGTCCGCTGACCCCCGTCTGGCCCGCTGACCCCCATCCAGTCCCCTGACCCCTGTCCAGCCCACTGACCCCCATCCAGTCCGCTGACCCCCGTCCAGCCCGCTGACCTCCACCCACTGACCCCCATCCAGTCCGCTGACACCCGTCCGGCCCGCTGACCCCCGTCCAGTCCGCTGACCCCCATCCGGCCCGCTGACCCCCGTCCAGCCCGCTGACCCCCATCCAGTCCGCTGACCCCCGTCCAGTCCGCTGACCCCCGTCCGGCCCGCTGACCCCCGTCTAGCCCGCTGACCTCCACCCGCTGACCCCCATCCAGTCCGCTGACCCCCGTCCCGCCCGCTGACCCCCGTCCAGTCCACTGGCCCCCTGCCCGGCCTGGGCCGCCTGCCTGGCACGCTGCTGGGCGAGGCCCTCCCACTCAAGCCTTTGTCAGCCCCCTGACTATGCCCCTAGTTGGAAGAAAAGGGCTACAGAAACCAAGCTGGGCACTGAAGCTGGAACAAGACCCCGAAAGGCCTCCACCTCCCAGAGCTGATGGCCGGCGTCACTCTGGACGGCTGGGCTTTCGGAACCGCCTTCCCCTTCCCGCCCCCACACACCTAAACCTGACAGTTTCACTTCTTGGGTGGAGAACCTGTGAAATGATTCACACACCTCGCTGTGGTCCTAGCATGGTTGGGGACACAACGTCACCGTCTACTCTGGAACCCCACATCACTGGCTCATCATAGCCCAGCGGGCACACACGCGCCAGATCCCAGGGGCCTCCACTTTCTCAGGGTCTACTCCTGCTGTCAGCTGAGCGTTCCCCCAGGCCAGGGTTCCATCCACCTCATTAGGATTCTGTGTTAAACAAGAGGCCCTGGGCGCATGCGCTGGGAAAGCACTCGAGGAAGTTGCGGCCACCAGCACGGGCTTTGCCCAGCGCCAAGGGCTAGTTACAACCCAGCTCTTCCTGGGTGAGAGGCTGGGTTCTGGGACGCTGAAGGGGTGTGGGTATTGCTTCAGAGTTTTTTCGTTTTTGTTTTTTTGGTTTTTTGTTTTTTGGTTTTTTTTTGAGACGGAGTTTCGCCCTTGTTACCCAGGCTGGAGTGCAATGGCGCGATCTCGGCTCACCGCAACCTCCGCCTCCTGGGTTCAGGCAATTCTCCTGCCTCAGCCTCCTGAGTAGCTGGGATTACAGGCACGCGCCACCACGCCCAGCTAATTTTTTGCACTTTTAGTAGAGACGGGGTTTCACCATGTTGACCAGGATGGTCTCGATCTCTCGACCTCGTGATCCACCCGCCTCGGCCTCCCAAAGTGCTGGGATTACAGGCTTGAGCCACCGCGCCCGGCTTGTTTTTGGTTTTTTTTGAGATGGAGTCTCCCTCTGTTGCCAGGCTGGAGTGCAGTGGTGTGATCTCAGCTCTCTGCAACCACCATCTCCTGGGTTCAAGCAATTCTCATGCCTCAGCCTCCCGAGCAACTGGGACTACAGGGTGCATGCCACCATACCCAGCTAATTTTTTATATGTTTAGTAGAGATGGGATTTTACCATATTGGCCGGGCTGGTCTCTAACTCCTGACCTCAAGATCTGCCCACCTCAGCCTCCCAAAGTGCTGGGATTACAAGCTTGAGCCACTGTGCCCTGCCCTGCTTCAGAGTTTGAAACGCCAAACTCCCCACCCAGGGGCGAAGGTCAACACACACCTTCCTACCTCTGCCGATCCAGGTCCCAAGTGCCCTCGGACTGCAAGGCCTCGGCTCTCTCCACGTCGGCCGAAGGGCAGAAAGATGGAGGACCCTGCAGGCCTCACTGCTCAGACAAGGCTCACCCCAGTACCACTTTCCCCGGCAGACAGGCAGGGGGCTCCCTTCAACTCATGTCCCAGGAGGGGCAGCAGCCAGTCACCCTGAGAAGCTGAGGCTCCCCAACCCCAGCATTTCAGCCATAGCAGAGCCCTGTAACCAGAGAGGACAGAGCCCCGCCAGGCCAGCGTCACCCAGCAAATGCCTCTGACCATCACACCAGACTGAGCCCGCCCACAAATCTCAACCCAAAAGCAGGGAGGAGCCAAGGGGGCCCAGCGAGGATTGGGTGGGGACGTGGGGTGGTGGGGAGGAGCCAGGGCAAGTAGGGAGACATGGTCAAGAGGGAAGGAAGCAAGCGGGCCCCAGGTAGGGGCATGGGACCAGTGGACTAGCCCCCAAGCTGCATTCCCAGCCCAGGATGGCCCTGGCTCCTGTGCTCTGTTCCAGGCCCCAGAATGGGGGAGCCAGGCCAGTTCCACCTCCTTCCTCAGACACAGCCCAGAGGGTTGGGGAAACGGGGTTGTGGGAGGTCCGAGCCCCATAGCACAGAGACTAGGGCCTTCAGTGGACACAGGTCCCAGGTGCCCTCGGAGTTGTGTAAAACAAGGAGCCAGGTATCCCACTGCACCGAACATGTGGCTGGAACCCCAGTCCTGGCACAGAGGAGCTGCAGGCACATGCTGAGTGGGTCTCCGGGAGCCTTGCACAGAGGCTGACCTTTAACAAGCTGACCTGAGAGGCCCCCACGCCAGCCCTAGCCCGGTCCCAAGCCATCCCCACTTCCACGTCCTACAAAGGGCTCCTGTGCCCCTTCCTTATTCCTCCGGGGAGCCCTCCTTGTTGCTTCCTCCCCACTGGGTCAGCCCCCTCCCCATCCCACAGAACAGGCTCTCTTCACTGTCCCACTCCCAGAGGCTCCCTCCCACCATGTGTGTCCTGAAAGCAGAAGCATTACTCAGGCGCCCGGGACAGGTTGTAAGCCGCCGGGACCCCTCATGGGGCCATTGAACACAAGGGTGAGTGTCTTGTCTTACAGGCAAGGGCCTTGGGGTGCTGTGACCAGAGACTTCTTGAGTCTAGGGCCAAAGTTAACCCAACATCAAGAAGCAAGACAGGCTCCACGCAGATCCCCAAAATGCCGCCTGGAATGGACCACGGACGAACCAGCAGACAGGGAGTCACCGCTGGTTCTCTGTTTTCCCAAAACTTCTGCGAGGGCCTGAAGCATTCCTGCATGAAAGACGTTTAGCAAAAGGGCCAGCAGATGCGGCTCTATAGATCTTTTCAAAGGCTGTCCCCTGCCAGGGTGACAAGTTCAGAGGTGGAGAGGGGACAGACCTGGCCAGGATGGAGTCGGAGATCTGTCTAAACTCTAAAGCATCCCGCCGGCTGCCTTTCTCCTCCTTGCCTGAGGAGGCCAGACTCCAGGATGCGTTCTAAGTCAGCCCCACTTTTAGGTCTCAAAGCAATGCCAGGCCCATGCCCGTGCCGCAAAGCCCGGCTGACTAAGCACAGCAGGGAAGTCCCCTGTTCTCCTGCAACCTCCCTCCCATCTTCCTCTAAGTCATGGAATCCTGTTGGGGAGGCGGCAGCCCCTCCCCAGCCCCAGCCGGCCAGCCGTGCTGCAACAGCACACCAGGAGCCCAGGCTCAAGGCCAAGGGGTCCCACTAACAACTCCACTCCCACTATGCAGACAACCGGGACTAAGACTGTGTGATGAACGGCAAGTGATGGGAGTCTGGCTTTCCGCTGCTGGAACTGACATGTATTGATCAGCAAGAAAGGAGACCAGAAAGATCCATGTAGGAGCTGGATCAGAGTTCATCACCGGTGTGAACGCACGCTTCACTCAATACAGGTACAGGAGGCTACGCATGGAGGCAGGCAGAGACACGTACATACATGTGCATTGACTCACATGTGCATGGCCAGTGTGAACTCGCACCGCACTCAGCACAGGACAGGAGGCTACACACGGTTGCAGGTAAAGACATGTACCTACATGTACATCAGCTCGCGTGTGCATTTCCTAGCTGTTGGCTGAGAGGGCCTAGAGGCAACGACACCCCCGGAGTCATTAGTGCACCTGCTACCTGGATCTTGGTTTCCGATTCTGCTCTCCAGTAAAAGGAACCCAGGCTCCCTGGAGAAGGGGCTGCATAAACTCATAAATGGGCAGAAGAGGCAGACCCCACTGCAGAAGATTGCCACATCAGTGACGCAGCCACTCTGCCCTCAAGGAGGTGTGCGTGACTCCCCAGCCTTTAAGTGTGGCTGGGTGTAGTAGCCTCTTCCCAAAGGCAACAGAACTGGAGGGAAGAGACACAAGAACCACTGTGAAGACACCCGAGAAACACACCTCAGCCGGGTAGCCAAGTCAACACCAGCAGCCGTGGGTCACCTGGATGACATGTGCCTGGCGTGATGTGGTAAGAGGGCACCGCGCCCCTTAGCAGGAAGGCCTTCCTCCCGCGGCTAAGCTGGCGCCCCAGTCTCACCGCGAGAAACACATCCAAACTCCAACAGAGGAATTCCAGTTGTCCAAACAGACAAATTCCTATGGGTGGAGATCCCACAATATACCTACTATTTCCTAAGACTGTCAGAGTCAGCAGACCACTTCCGGCGTGGCCGTGGCGGCTAATGCTACTACGAACCCGTCGCAGCTGCTGCCGTTAGAGCTTGTGGACAAATGTATTGGATCAAGAATTCACATTGTTATGAAGAGTGATAAGGACATTGTTGGTACTCTTCTAGGATTTGATGACTTTGTCAATATGGTACTGGAAGATGTCACTGAGTTTGAAATTACACCAGAAGGAAGAAGGATTACTAAATTAGATCAGATCTTGCTAAATGGAAATAATATAACAATGCTGGTTCCTGGAGGAGAAGGATCTGAAGTATGAATGAGTTTCCTTGGCTTACACTAGATTCTGTTTTGTCTTATAATGACAAGAAAATGGAATTTCTTTTTGCCTTCTGTTTAAATCCTATAAAGCTAAGTTTCCCGTTAAAGGGAAGTGCTTTGAAGATGTGTACCCATTTTTGTAAGTTAATCATGATTATTCTGGAAAAAAGAAGAGTTTCTTCTTTGAAGATGAAAATAAAAGTGTTTTTGGTTAAAAAAAAAAAAAAAAGACCATCAGAGTCATCAAAACTAAGAAAAGTCTGAGAAGCTGTCAGAGCCGAGATGAGCTTACAGAGACATGACGGCTAAATGTCATCTGGGACCCAAGATGCAGTCTTGAAACAGACAAGGACACCAGGTGAAAGCTAGGGGATCTGAACACCCTGTGTGCTTTGGCCCATAACAATGTATCGACATTGGTCCATGGATTTTAACAAACTATCGCACTGAAGTAAGACGTTCATCACAGGACAAACTGCAAAGGTTGGCAAAGATAATTCGGAAATTCTGTATTATCTCTGCAATTTTTCTATAAATCTAAAACAGTTTTTTATTAAAATAGAGTTGGCTGGGGTGGTGGCTCATGCCTGTAATCCCAGCACTTAGGGAGGCTGAGGTGAGTGGATCACGAGATCAGTAGTTCGAGGCCAGCCTAACCAACATGGTGAAACTCCTCTCTAGTAAAAATGCAAAAATTAGCCAGGTGTGGTGGTACACACCTGTAATCCCAGCTACTCAGGAGGCTTAGGCAGGGGAACTGCTCAAACCTGAACCCGGGAGGCAGAGGTTGCGGTGAGCCGAAATCACGCCACTGCACTCCAGCCTGTGTGACAGAGTGAGACTTCCTCTCAAAAAAAAAAAAATAGAGTTATTGGCTGGGTGCAGTGGCTCACACCTATAATCCCAGACTGTGAGAGGCCAAGGTGGGTGGATCAACTGAGGTCAGGAGTTCGAGACCAGCCTGGCCAACATGGTGAAACTCCGCCTCTACTAAAAATGTAAAAATTAGCTGGGTGTGGTGGTGGGCGCTCGTAATCCCAGCTACTCAGAAGGCTGAGGCAGGAGAATCACTTGAATCTGGGAGGCAGAGGCTGCAGTGAGCCAAGATCACACCATTGCACTCCAGCCTGGGTGACAAGAGCAAAACTCCATCTCAAAAATACACACACACACACACACACAGACACACACACAGACACACACACTATTAAAAACAAAAACTCAGGCTGGGGGGACACAGGCTCCGGGCTCACTCCCCAGCTCTGCCTGAGCACCTATGAACACTCACAGCTAAACCCTGCCCCAGGTACCCCAGAGGACGCCGAGTAGAAGCCTGGAGATTCTATGACATATACTTATAACACTGGAAGGATGACCCAGGGACAACCGTGGGCTACGGGGTGAACTGGGGAAGTCCGTGAGAGCCGTGTGCATGGGGCCCAGGCCACAAGCATCCTCATCTGCAGCCATACACGCCTGACAGATGCTGTCCCCAGTGCTCCAGGCCTGAGAGGAAAAGCAGGGCCCTGCCCTCTAGGAGCTCAGAAGACAGGCAGGTAAACGGACAACCACGGCAGGCGGTCAGCACAGGGGCAGGGGGCCAAAAGCCAAACCTGAGGGAGTGGGAAGGCCCGGAAGGCTTCCTGGAGGCAGCTGAGTAGAGTTCACGTGAATGGCAAGGATGGAAACATATGAGTCATGAGATGGCATGCAGTGCCCTGCACATGGTGGGTTCACAGCATGGGAAGTGTGAAGAGCTCTATGTCAGCCAAACCAACAGAAGGGGCTGCTGTGAACTCAGACCCCTGGCACTTAGGAGGCAAGGCGAGCCCTCCAAGCATCCTGACAAAGGTGGTCCGGGGGCAGGGAAGAGGTGCCACACTCCAGGAGGGGCACCGCGCCCAGCTCAGCCACTGCACGTGACAGCACAGATGAAAACACATCCACGCGGAGTCGGGGACGCCGATGCCAGAGGCCACAGGTGGTCTGAGTGCTCTTGTATGAAACACCCAGAGAAGTAAGAGACAGAAAAGAGGAGGCTGGGCACCGGGGGCAGGAGGAAGGGTCCAGAGAGTGCCTACAGCGTCTAGAGGGCACGGGTCCCTGTTTCAGTTTCAACGGTGGTGATGGCTGCACAGCGTGGTGAATGTATGGGAAGTCCGTGAACTGTGCACTTTAACGAGTGTGTTGGATGGTGTGTGAATTACACCTCAATAAAGACTGACAAACACACCTCAGCCAGGTGGCCAAGGCCAACACCAAGAGCGAGGAACAAACAAACTCGTTCCCAGCCTGGCCCCTGGCCTCACCCCACTCCACAGCCCAGCTCAGCCCCGGGCCAGGGTCCCGGGGTAGCAAGCACTCCAGGTCACCGGACACGAGCAGGGACCCCTAATTTCAGGATCCCACCTTCTAGAAGGGAAGCGTGGTAAACAGTAGACAAAGACAACCAGAACTGCAGGAAGAGGCGAGCAGCGACGGCAGAGGGACGGCCTCCCAGGCGAGGGGACGTGGAACAGGGAGATGCCAGAGCTAGCCCACAGGGGAACCGTCCGAGAGAGGCCGAGCCATTTCCTGGAGCCTCCTAACTGCTCTCTGCCCAGCATTCAGTTTCTCCCACCGCAGCTTCTCAGGAGTCTGGTGGCACCGGGGTCCTGAACAGAGTCTCTTGTCCCTCCCGTTCGCCAGAGACAAGAACGATTCACCCAGCACAGGGCTTCATGGCTTCCCAGCACCCCCATGCTCTGCCTGCTCGGACCTTGCTTCACAGAGGGCAGTGATGGGGCCACTGCCAAGTGCATCCCAGAAGCCCTCACTCCTGAACCACCCATGGCCTCCCCACCCAGCCCCAGCCAAGGCCCCAGCGCTGCTCCCCAGTGACCTGCCTCCTCTAGGGAAGTGGCAGCCAGGCCTCCCCACCCACCTGGGCCTCCCTGTGGGAGGTGGTGCAGATATAGCCACCTCAGGCCAGAGCCTCCTATACCCTAAGCCAAAGCCCTCGTTTACAGGTTACCAAACTGAGGCCCAGAGAGGTTAGGTGTCTTGCCCAGGAACACACAGCAGTAAGATCATGAGTGTTCTCCATCTAAGCCCCGTGCATATGGGGCACTGGTTAGCAGCGCAACCCACTGGTCCAAACCCACCTCTACCACGCACCGACCTGTGGCCCCGGGGAACTGCCGAGCGGCTGGCTCCTGTGTGAGGCTCAGCTAACGAGAGCACCTACCTCCAGCTGTTATGAAAATACATCATGTAACAAGCTTAGAGGGCTGCCCGGCCTGGGCAGGACATGCTGTCCACAACTTGCTATTTACTGCATGTGTCACAGCAAAGAGAGAAGTCTCATCACGACTTCAAGTTTATTGCTTATATTTCTCTCACGAAATCCCTCTTACAGGAGAATTATTAGGAAGGCAGAAGGCTTGCAGTGTTTACGAGCACAGCCTTCAGGAGCCAAACGACCCATGTGCAAATCCCAGCTCTGCTCAGGAGCTAACTGGGGACTCAGACAAGCTGCACCGCCTCCCCGTGCCTCAGTTTCCTTATCTGTAAAATGGGATGAAGCTGTATGCTCTGAGGACTTCATGAGACAATTCGCGTCAAACACTCAGGGCAGGCCTGCTGTGCAGAATGAGTGATTTCTAGTGCTATTATTACGTTTTTGATAGGCCGGTACTTCCTGCCTTCCTGTGTAACCACAGGGGACTTTAATCACAGGGCTTAAACATAATCACAACCCTAGATTATAATTCAAACGCCAAACAATCGGAACAGTAGCCCTTTAGACGGGACTGTCATTAGTGGTGAATTACCAGCCCAAAGGGTCCGCCCAGGCCTTCTGTCTGGGGCATACTCACAGACACCAAAGGCAAAAACAACAGGGCGTTCTCTAATTAGGGAAACCCAAGCTTGCTTGCTTTCTTTTTTTTTGAGACGGAGGTTTGCTCTTGTTGCCCAGGCTGGAGTGCAAGGTCGCAATCCCGGATCACCGCAACCTCCACTTTGAGGGTTCAAGTGATTCTCCTGCTTCAACCTCCCAAGAAGCTGGGATTACAGGCACGCACCACCACGTCCAGCTAATTTTCTGTATTTTTAGTAGAGAAGGGGTTTCACCATGTTGGTCAGGCTGGTCTCAAACTCCTGACCTCAGGCGATCTGCCCACCTGGGCCTCTCAAATTGCTGGGATGACAGGCGTGAGCCACCGCGCTGGCAGAACCCACATTTTCTTGCGCCGCCTCCATCTGTAAGAGAGGTCTGAGTGACCCACCTTTAAGTTCTCAAGTTAAACTATTATATTTCCCCAGCTGCCAAGGGCTCCAAGCAGGCGACAGGCTGCCCTGGGCCCCACCTGCTGGGCTGGGTTAGGCCTGTGACACTCTGTTCACATAACCGTCCCCTTGGGAGACCCAGGCCTCCTCCCAGACTCCCCAGCCACACCTGACTGTGGAGGACTTGACCTTTACTCCTTCACAAGCAGCATTTTCAGGACCATTGCGGTGACACCAAAAGCCAAAGAAACGGCAGATCTAAAACCCGCTGCGGTGCCAAAGGGACCCCAAGCCAGCTTGCAGGATGCGCAAACTTCGAAAGCACTGTGAGTGGTCTGCCTGGCCTCGGAGGCACCCCTGGCAGGGACCCATCTCCCAGCCAAGCAAGAGGCGCTGCTTCCCAGCGAGCACCTCTGCCTTCCACCTGCTACTCACTGTGCCCGGCCACGGTTTCTCTCCGTCAATTTCTGTCAGAGATTTCTGCAGAGACAGCCTCCTTTCCCCTAAAGAGGCCGGGCAGCAGCCTCTCAGGCCGCCTGGCAGGGGAGGAGGCAGAAACTCAGGCAGGGGCGACCAGGCCACCCAGCCAGTCCCTGATGTCTTCCGTCCCAGCCAATACACGCCCGTAACAGCAGCAGCTCTGGAAATGCTCAAGTCCCCACTGTGGCCACTAGGCAGGAGCCCCAAAATCTGACACACAGAGGCCCGCAGACGGGGAAGCTTCCCCAGCTCCCCAAGACGGGGAAGCCTCCTAAAATGAGCCCCTGACCAGAGCCACGGCAGACCAGGACTGGAAGCCCACTGCCAAACAAAGCCCAGTGGATTCAGCTACCAGCGAGACATACCCAAACAGTGGAACACGGGGAGCTGGAAGGGACCTTCCTATGGCCCCAGGGAGGGGAGAGGGCACATGGATGGCATCAGTCAATCACTAACACGGATCACACCATGGGA